AGCGCTGCTTCGGCCCTGCCACGGCTGCGAACTTTGGCTCTGCAAGTGCTGCACGGCCAGCCCTGGGCGAGGGCTCACCTGTCCCCAGGTAGCAGGTGGGAGGCAATCGGAGGGGCTCGATAAGGGAGGTGTAAGTAATTCCTTGGCTCTGGCTTAATTCTCCTTCGTAGAATGGCAGGAGGGAGGAATGAGTGGTGACAGATATTCTTCTCTGGAGAGGGTAAAACTACAGGAAGAAGTCTCGGGCACAGTCAAGTTTGCTCTCCTTTTGATGGGCTATGGAAAGGATTTGGTCCCTGTACCTGCATTGGGCTCCCTGCCTGCACTTTTTGCTTCCTGGAGCTTTATTTCCTGAAAAATTTCCAGCTCTCAAAACTATATTCCTGTGCCCACCTCCAAAGCATCTGGAGTTCAAGACAAGCCTCCTCAGCCCCAAAGGGGAAACCTGCGTCTGGCTGAGAGCTGGGCACTAGTAGACTCTCCAGAGCAGAAGAAGTTGTCTGGATTATCAAATGAACTCGGAGTTCATTCCTGCTCCTACAAATGTGCTTCATAAAAGCATAGGGCTCATGCTCATAGTTGGTTATGACAGGCTCTTACTATAGTTTTTGGCTTGGAAAAAAGCTCCAGGTTATGCAGCTGGGCATTCTTTGCCTCGTCATTCTAAAACTGTGAATAACCAAGGCTTCCTAAGAAGCCTGGCTTCTCAGAAGTTACAGGAATTCAGCTGAATAAATTTCCCTGGGAAAAGGTGCAATGCAGATGAAACTGACCCAAGAGAAGGATTGGGAGCTGCATTAATTTCAAGGAGGAAATGACCTATATAAAGCATGTGTGAACAAAAACTTGGCAAAACCAGGTAGAGATGAGCAGAGTAGGGCTAGCAGACAGGTGGATCTGAGGTGTCTGTTTTGTGCAGCTGAAAGGAGGCACTGCAGGAGGAGTTGGCTGGTGGGTGTGTTGGGATGCAAGCCTTGGCACATGTGCTCTGAATAAACAGATACCCTTGCTGAGTGGATGCTGTGAAAGCTTGCTCAGAGCTGCGGTGTTGGTGTTACAGGGTGGGGACTTAAAGCACTGAATTGGAGAGTGTGGCTCTTCTTTTTCTTGGCACGGGAGCAGCAATCAAGTACTAGAGCTGGCTGTGCGTGGCTTTGGCAGCCAGAACTCTGCTGCATCACAAGGCCAGTGGTCACTGCTACTGTTGCTGCCTCATCCCTCTCTGTGTGGTGGGAGCAGCTTTGGAACCTGGCCTGCTGCCAAGCGGGAATTTTATTAAAGGAATACTCTGTGTTTAAAGTCAACTCTAATACAGTTGACTTAAGGGGGATGTGTGTGATAAATTCATCCAGCAGTTTATCCAGAGCCCGGCCAAAGAGAGAGTCTGCCAAAAACATCCATCAGAATGTCAGTGTAAGGGCAGGAGCGATGGATGCAGTGTTCTGGGAGCTGCCTGGCTGCAGAGGCATCTCCAGGGTACCTCTGGCAAAGTGCCCTTCTGTGGGTGCATGGGGGGAGAGAGAGAGAGAGGGTGCTGCCTCCCTGGAGGGAGAGGCTGGGTGCTGGGGGGGAGGCTCTAGTGGAGGGGCACATGGCCTGTGCCTTCTGGGAGAAGGAATTGCTTCCAAAGCTTTGGTGAGCCTCGAGTAGGTGAGTTGTGTTTGGCAGAGCCCTGTGGCTGTATGGATGTTTCCCAGGGGTTTAGCACAATCCCCGTGGAGGCTTGAGGTGCAGACTCTGTGCTGGAGGTAAAACTGGCTGATGTGCCTTCTGAGCTGATGTTATTTTAAAATGGATAGAGGGAAGAAAGCTCCAGAGCAGTGTTGGCCAAGCCTGTGCCCTGCTGCTGTTCAGACTGTTGCTATCTTTGCAACACTACTTGGAGGCACTTTGGATGGAGCAGTTCTGGGGGACAGTGTTGAGCAGAGTGTGTAGCTCAGCTGAAATGAGTGCTTTTGGCTGACATCTGGGGTTTTATGAGAGGTGAAGTCAGTTGTGACAAACTGAATTCCTACTCGTACAAAAGCTTGTGAAGCCCTGGAGAGAATCTCTCCCGAAGGGAGGCAAGCACAGCAGGAGTAGTGCTGAAATTCGATAATCTGGGGATTTTGTGAGCATTGGCAGGACTGAACCACGGGCTTTGCTTTGGGTTTTAAATGCTCTGGAGCCTGCTATTGCTAGCCTAGTAGGACAGTGCCTGTGTGTGTGCCTTCAAAGGGTGACTTTGTCCCTGTAGCAGTTGGAAGAGCTGTTCAAGGGCACAACAGGCTCTGGTCCTGCCACTTCTGTAGTGTTTTTGTCACAGTGTCGGTCAATCACACCATGCAGATACTTGCCTTTAATTAAGAAGCAAGCTTATTTGGGATGGCTTGGGGGAGGAAGTGATATATCAACTGTCCGACAAAATTTGTATTAAAGTGCTTTTCTGGCATCAACTGACCCTTCTTCTCATCTTCCAGAGTGTTAGACTATTTCCCTCACAAGCAAGCAATGGCTGTGGACGTGGCCATGCAGCTGTACCTGTGCTCCTCACCCTTGCGCAGAGAGAAGTGCGCCTGCAAAATTGCTCCAAAGGCCAGCAAGCCGCTGCGGCCCTGCATCCAGCTGAGCAGCAAGGCTGCCCTGAAGGGCACAGGAGAGACAGCAAACTCCTTCCCACACAGCAAGGCGAAGAAGAGGGTGTCCTTTGCAGATAGCAGAGGCTTCGCTCTGACCATGGTGAAGGTGTTCTCGGAGTTTGAGGATCCGCTAGATATTCCTTTCAACATCACAGAGCTGATAGACAACATTGTGGGCCTGACAACCGTGGAGAAGGACAGCTTCGTCCTGGATTTTGTTCAGCCCTCCGTGGACTACCTGGACTTCAGAAACCGCCTCCAGGCAGATTGTGTCTGTCTGGAAAACTGCATGCTAAAGGAGAAATCTATTGTGGGAACGGTGAAGGTGAAGAACCTCGCTTTTGAGAAGACAGTGAAGATCCGGATGACATTTGACACGTGGAAAAGCTTTGTAGATCACCCGTGCCAGTATGTCAAGGATACGTACGGAGGGTCGGACCAGGACACGTTTTCCTTTGACATCAGCTTGCCTGAGGGGATTCAGTCGCACGAAAGAGTTGAGTTTGCCATTTCCTTTGAGTGCGATGGGAAGGTGTACTGGGACAACAACAGGGGCACAAATTACAGGGTCATCCGGTCAGAACTGAAGTCTGCCCAGGAAGCTGTCCGTCCCCCACAGGCTCCTGACTTCGGCAGTGCATTTGACCGGTTTGGGAGCCCTCGGTGCTCCTATGGCCTCTTTCCTGAGTGGCCCAGTTATTCAGGCTACGAGAAGCTCGGGCCCTACTACTGACCCGAGGACAAAGGCCAGGCTGACTGACTGCTGCTGGTGTGTCTGCAGGCCTTGGGGCTGGCCTGAACACAGGTGTATGAATAGGTGGAAGAAGTATGGCTCTGTGTAGGTTAGCATAAGCCTCCCAGCAAAACCAGATGTGCGGTGCTCTGCTGGCGGGGGACTTATAGTCAGAGCAGCAAATCTGGCTCTCCAGATGATCAGAGGACCAAGGACTGCTCATGTCTCTTCAGCACTTCTTCTTCCTCTTCAGTAAAGATGCTAGTGTCCAGGGAAACACTACCGTGCTTATATTTTCTGTTCAAGCTGTGTAGTGGTGGCTGCTTTGTACTGCCTGTCTAGTATTAAAAGGCTCTTTCAAAATATATTCTTTTATTACATTGTTAGTGGGCTCTACTACAGCTGCTGGGTTCTCTTTGCAAAGCCAGCCTGTGCCTGTCAGGAAATAGTGTGGTTGGATTGCTGGGAATGGAGTCCTCTCTTTGCACATATCCTTGTAGTGAGGCCCATCCTACTGGAGGCAGAAAGCATGTTTTGGAAGTGAAAATGCAATGTGATGACAAGAAGTGTAGCCCTACAGCCTGCCCTATTAGGAGATGTGCCTGTGGCAGAGGATCTGATATGCGTAGTCACTGGTTGTTATATCAGATGATCTTGAAAATCTCTCATACCGTTGGTGTTACCAAAAATAGAGATTAGCTGTGGCTGTGTGGTGCTTGTGACACAGGAAGGTGACTGTTGGGTACCTACTGTGTCATGGAAGTGCCTTGGATGAGAAAGGGGTGGTATGTGCAATCCCAGCAACACTTTGGGATGAGCAGGCTTTGGAGCTGGTGTTGCTTTTAAGATCTGGTAATGGTGTATTACTCTGTGCCATGGACTGCTTGGCAGATACAGGCACAGCACTGCTCATATGTCAGGGTGCTGTGGCTGTCCTGGATAAACGTGCTGGGCTTCCCTCTCTGCTGAAGCAGTATCTGCCAGTTTAACCTGCAAATGCCCAGACTTTGCATTGCTGGCCATAAAAAGTGGCTCACCCCAGCTATGCAAAGAACTAGCCATGAGGAGAGTGAGATATGTGGGGTTATCCTGGCAGCACCCCTGCATGTGAGACAAATCACAGATGTGAGCCATCTCTGTCATTAAAGAGGTGGCTTGGCTTCTGGCTGTGTGTTGGGCTGGTGAGCTCAGCAGTGCCAAGCAGCCTCACAGAGCTTCTTGGGTGCTAACCTAGCAGAATAACTTAATCCTTCAGCTCAGAGAGAGAGTGCTGAAGAGTCTTACAAATAAAGGTCAAGGAAATGCTGCTTTTTCTAGTGCATAAGCTTTACATAATTTTGGGTGCCTCTAGTAGCCTGTGGATGTGCTGGAGAGAAGCAACAGGCTAGACTACTTAACTTTGTTAACATAGCTTTTAATTCTGGAGACTACTGTACAAATACCTAGAAGCTGTTTTACTCTAACCTAGAAGGGATGTTGGGATCACTGTTGGATATCAAAAGGGACAGGAGCTTGCAGGAAGAATAGCTGGCCTTCAACTGCTGCTTTTTGAAAATACAGAATCAGTATGTGTCCTCAGTGTGCCTGATCACTTAGCTGAGGTGGTGAATCTCCTTGCTAGCCTAGAACTCATCAGGTTTGGTTCCTCTGTTCAAACAGCTCCCCAAGTCAGCCCTTAGAGCCTGCATCTCATCTCTCTGGAGGGGACTGTTGCCTAGCTTGGCTTGGTTTTAAACTTGAGGCAAGTTTGTGTGACACTGATAGTTTTTATTTATTTAGTGTATGGTGTTGATGTTGTAAGACACTTGGCTGTAGAAAAGTCATGTTCTCCTGGCACCTTCTTGTGCCCATGGAGAGCTGTTTGTGAGCCTGAACAAGGCATGTGGGTCTGGGGTGCTGTGGATGGTGGTGTCCCCTCATGGGCTTGTTTTCAGGCTGTGCCTTGGGTGTGCTTAGGGAGGAACATGGAAGATAAGCTAGAAGAGCAGTGCCATAAGTAAAAGCTAGGTTGGGAACTGACTATCTGATCAATAGCAGTTTAAAAATGCTACTTGTGGCCTTTCCCCTTTTCCCTTTTTCCATTGCCAATGTGAACATAGAAGTGAGGAGGTTGCTCTCCTTGCTCTATGCCTGGAAGTGCCTTGTAGGATGTTTTGCATGTTTGTTTTTAAAAGATATTTTTGTACACAACATTCAAGTGGAAAATGCACTTTATAATTGCCATGTAATGACTCTTTTAAAAATATGGCTGTTTTTATCTGATTGTTAAAATAAAGGTGGAACAAAATCTTGGCTGTGTACCTTATTTAAGCACCCATGGGGCTGGGGAGGCAGTTTGGACACGGGTCCAGCTTCCTGCAAGTGGCCATTGGCAGGGAGGAGCGCACATCCACCCTGAATTCTACAGGAAAGAGCTGCCTATTCCTGCTGCCTTCCTGCCAACACGAATGCTTCCCTTACCTCTGCAGCCCTGGGATGGGAGGAGCCCTAAGCCTTCTCTCTGCTCCCAGGTTTCCCCACTAATCACTGTTGTCCCGATGTGCTCTTCACTCTTCCCCTGCTTGCAGTGCCAGGAACAGCATTTTCGGGTTTCTCTACTTTTGTTTTGAGTCAATCTCCCTCTTCTCCCCTTCCCCCACCTCGGCTTGATCTGGGATCAGGGCTTTGCTCTGTGTGCTGGGCTCTGATGGATGCTGGGAGAGGTGTTGCAGAAGGGGGGCAGGCTCTTTTCTAATACCAGGATCAAGTGAAAGTTAGCCCTTCCTTATGTCTGAGTCATTATCCCTGTTGTCACTACAATAAGAAGCACGAGGAGCAATCGTGCTCCTTTGCAGAAAGGGAACAGCTGGTGTAAATGCCAGCCAGGGCCAGCTTTGGCATTCGGCCTGGCTCTCACCACAAAGACTGAGCCTCGGTGATGCTCTGAAGGTGTTGTATTTCAATCGGCTCCTGAGCTGGGTGGGATTTGCTGCTTGCAGATAAGGTAAGATGGAAAGCTGTGGGGGAAGGGGAGGGAGGTGTGTTTGCCTTGGTGTGTGCGGTTTGAGCAGCTCTAGGCTGTGCTTCCCATCTTACTGCAGAGCCTTGCAGAGTGAGCTTGGCCTTTGCTCTATACAGTGATAAAACTGAGCACCTCCTGTCTGTGGCTTTGCCCAAGTCCCTTGCTGTCATAAAAGTACTTTTTTAACCACTGTGGTTCTTTTAATCAAGCATACAACACAGGGCTCTTTTAAAAGGTAATGGGATGGTTTTTCTGGTGGCATAAAAGAAAAAAAAATTAAAAGGTATTTGTGTCCCTGCCTCAGGTGCTTGGGGTGGCTTGGCCAGGGCTGTTTTCACATCTGAATGCTGGCCCAAGCTGATGAATGAGACAACTGCAGCCAGACATTTCCTGTAACAGCTTTGTGGCTGAAAACCCCATCTGAGGACAGTTTCAGTTTAGGACATAAGGGAAGTCCAAGCCATCTAGGGTAGCTGAGGAGATGGTGCAACATTAGAAGGGCCAAGAGAGCTCAGCTCTGGGGTTTCTCCCTAATGCCCAGGTGTGTTATATGCTAGATGATACAGATATTGCAATTGCTGCATTTATAAAGCCCTTGGTGGCAGGTGTGATTGTGTACTTGCTGGTTAATATACAAAGATTTCTTAGAATGCTCATGCCATTGCACCCCCCCCCCAACCACTTTTCTGTCTGTATCCTGAGGGATTTTGATGCCACCCTGGGTAGAGATAACTAAGCTGTGGTATCATGTTGATCTTGGATGTGTTTGGAGGTTCTGCTTTCCAGAGTTTGTGTTCCAGGGACAGTTTGGTTAGGGAGAGGGAGCAGGGGAGTATTTGCCCTCATGTCCACCTCCCATTGGCCTGGGGATGCTGTCCTACAGGGGGGCAGCTCTGCTGTGCCACTGCTGTCACAGCAGCCTCTAGAGCACACTGGGTTGATTGCAGGGCCTGGCTACAGTGACAAAGGCAGGATGTGGGCTCCCTGCACCTGCATCCTGGCAAAGCAGAGTCCCAAATGTTGTGTAAATGTCAATTTATGAGCACCCCACATTCTTGCTTCAGATGTTTGCCAGGGGGACCCACGTGGGAATGCTCTAGGGAAAACTGCCCAGAATGAGAGAATATGCAGAGGAACATGTCTCTTCCAAATCAAGGGAGTGTAAATGTGTCCAGGCAGTACTTTGCTGCTGGACCAAACTTTTCCTTGGTTTTAAATGTAGCTCTTAGAGGCACTTGCAGTGGAGAGTGATGTGTGGAAGACGTGTCTGCCTTGCAACCAGTGAGCAGCGCAGAGCAGGTCATTTCCCAACAGCAGTCAGCTGTTCTTCAGGTTTCTCTCCACAAAGCAGCAGCAAATGAGCCTCTCTAAGACTGGGTCTTTGGGGGAAAGTCTCTTGACCACAAGGCAAGGGGTAAACAGGACCAGCATGTTTCAGCATGGCCCATGGAGTTCCCTGCTGCTTTGTAGTGTCTCCCTTGCTCGGGCACTGCCCTTGTCTCTCTTACACACCATGATGCTGTTTCCAGTGTAGCCATCACCAGACTGAAGCATCAGCTTGATTTCACAATGTCTTCCACAAGCTTGTGTGGTCACAGAGGGCAGGAAGGGCACTTGTGTGTGGTGGAAGGAGGCTGTGCTGAGGACGCTGCTCTCAGCAGCACCAAGAGCACTCTGTACTCCTGGGAACAGCACAGAGCTTTGCCAAAAAGCTGGCAGCATGGGGCTGGGTTGTGATGCTCCCAAACTCCCCTGGTGTTTCCACAGACTTGTTCCTACTGGGCAGTTCAGCTGGCTTTAAATTATTACAATAAACCATATTTATGTCCTTGGGGTTTTTTTGATGGAACTAAGCTCCAAACCAGCTTCTCTGACCCAGCAAGATTCTGCTGCTCTGCAGCCAGAGAAGCTGCCCAGCCTGTCTTTATCCTCCCCCTTGGAGGGGTGCCCTGCCAAACAGTTAGCTGTTTCTAAAGACTGGTTATTGACATTTACACAAGGCTTAAAGAAAGAAAAAAGGTGTCTTTGTGGAAAAATAACTGCAGCTGGCCTGTTCCTTTGGCACAGATAAGTCAGACCAGTCACCAGTTTAAGTACTTTGGCTCCTGGAATGGGTTTTGGGCAAGCCCTTGCAGCTGATTCATTAGTCACGGATCTCTTCTCCCCTCTGATGCTGCTATGCAGTCTCAGGAGGAGGGAAGGCTCCAACTCCATAACTCAGGAGAAATATGTTTAAAAGGCATAAGAAGAGGGTGAAACATGCATAAATGCTTTTATAGCTTCCACTATTTCTGGTGTGGGGATTTTGTTGTGACCATGGTGATGCCTTCTACCTAGTGAATCCTTGACAAGCTCAAGTGGAGGAGGTCTCTGGGATGTCTGCTCCAAGCAAATCACTCTCACAGCTAACTGTGGTCACTCAAGGCCTTATCCATGTGGATGAACTCAATGTTGGAGATGCCACCACATCTCTGAGCCCTGTCTCAGGGCTGCACTGCCCTCCTAGGGGAAAAGACCTCTCCTAGGTCCTCAGGAATCAAGGGACTCTGCACAATGTTGTAGTCTTGACAAAACACCTGGTTTCTTCCAGCTCCTGGCCAGATTCAGGACATATAGATGTGGGGGTACAAGATAAGCAGCCGCAGGACAAAAATATTTCAGGGCTGGCAAGTCCTAATACATGTAGTTTGGAGCAAGGGAGCAGCTGCCATGTGCATACAGCAAGGTACTTGTCATCTTCCAAGGCATCCTGCAGTAAAAGGTAGAGCCATATTCCCAACACAGTTGCTGGAAAACCTCACTGTCAAGAGTCAAAGGCCTAAAGTGACCTACAGCCCACCTCCCAATCTAAGCAAAACAGAGCCCAGTTTCCCTCAATATTTAGCAGCTGGGAACTCATGATCTCTTACACCTGCTTCCCATCATTATGGTTCCTGCCAGGACAAAACTGGAGCATTATCAGCAGGAGTGTAACTCAGTGTTTGTGGGTGACACTCCAGTGCTATGGAGATAGCCACTTCTGTAGGGAGAAATACAACAGCCCTCTCCAGCCCACTGAGGGTTTTATGACATTCCCCTTTCACATGGTGTTCCCTTGGACACCTGGCAGGTGCTGCTTCTCCTGCATTTCCCTACTTGCTGTGAGTTATTGGCATCTGAATGGCCATCAGAAATGCAGTATTTCTTTATCCATGAGCTTGGCAGAATGTGTCCTTGATGGTGCTGCAGGCCGGGCTCCAGGGTAGCTATAGGTGATGTGGCACCTTCCACCCCTCGTGCCACAGCACACTTGGTCGCTGGACTAGGAGACATTGGAACAGGGCTCCCTCTTGGGCTGACTCTCACAGTGCAGCTTTATTTTCTCCAAGAAGCTGTCTCTGAGCAGATCAAGCCACAAAAGGAGGCAAGCTAAACCCAAATAAATCTACCAAACCCTCTGCTTCTCCACACTGGCTTCGGCAGGAGAAGAATTTCACTTCAGAGACCACAGCAATTATCTCTTGAATGCTTTATAGCCATGCAAGCAATCATAGCAGACACACACTAACTTTTATGCTGGTGGTCATCAAGATCTCTTAGACAACCAATGAATCTACGCACAAATCTTTCAATGCTTCTAAATGCCCTGCAATAACAGCCCAGTGCTGATAAACTGAGCCATAAAGCCAGCAGGGATGCACTCCTGGGGGTTCATAGCAGGATGACTGAGCACTTTAGTAATTTTTTCCTTTCTTTTACAGGACAGCAATGCAGCAGCAAGGCAAGTTACAACAAACAGTCAGAAGTAATACCTGGTCAGGTAGACATGCACAAGTGAATGATCCAGGCTGCAGGCCTCTCCTGGAGTGGAGAAGATGCTCTCACAATGTAGGGCCAGGGACAAGACCCTCATGCTGGATTACATAACCTGGCATCAGAAACACTCACTGCTCTTGCTTTCTGTGGGCTGGAAGGACTAAATCTATTAAAGCTGTAGCTGGAGACAGCTTGGGAAAATCCTGCATCACATTTGAATGTCTGGGATGAAAAAGTGCCAGCATGCTTGCACATCATGCCAAGCTGAGCCAGCAGAGGCTCTTGGGTTTCTTCTGTCTGTGTACAATTAAAGTCACACTCAGCATTGAAGCACTGCTCAGATCCCCAGACTTTGCAGCTGCACGACCACACTGGAGAAGGCACAGAACCTCTGAACATCTCTAAGCCAGCTGTCAATGAGAGCCATGCTTCCCAAGGGGCTGGGAATGGGCTGCAGGTCACTCCTGACCCATCCCCTTGGTCTTCTGTGTCTCAGTGGTCCCTTAGCTGAGTGGAGTCATGCTGGCATTCCAGCACAGCACACGCAGTCACTCATCTCTTCTTGCCATCAGCCAGCTCCCCACAGCAAAGCCCCCCCAGTGACGACAAGCATCTTCCCCCATGCTGGGTAGAAAGAGCAAGGGAGAAAGAATTAACAAAATAAGAAATCTCCCAGAGTCTGGAAAAAGCGCCCATCTGGCAGGATCTCACAGCTCCACCCTCAGGGAATCTGCGTTTCTGACACTCAGTCTGCCTGCTGCTTGAGGGAACACCCTCGTAGAATCAGCCACGAGCAGAGAGACTTGTGAGCCAGTTCTGCACAATTTGCTCTAAGGGTCCTCCCAGCTCTATCTCCAGCCAAACAAAAGCAAAGGCTCTTTTCTTCTGAAATATGCAGGAGGTCATGAGCTAACCTGCAGCTAATCTATATTTTCAGCTCTGATGTTGCTTTTCAGCTCTGCTGCTTGTGTTTGTGCTTGGCTGCTTCCTCCTTTCCAAATTCCAGAGGTGGGTTTGTTTCCTTAACAGAGAATGAAGAAATTTGGATATGGTCTTACAGGAAAAGATCAGATGCAGTTTATAGCATCTTGCACCAAAGGAACATTGAGAACAGCTAGAATCATCAAACTCATCTGTGCTTGAATCAGTAGCCAGATTTTTCGAAGGTGCAGGAGACCCAGTAAGAGGAATGGGTGAGCAGTCACCAAGGCAGGTTCCCATATACAGTACAGATTCTGAGAACAGAAAATGTTGAATCCTGGAGATATCTCTCTCCATAACTCAGACTTTTCCATTGATTGGAGAGAATGATCTCTTCTCTGTTTGGCACAGAGCAGCTCTGCGGCCCAGCAGACCAAGCTGTAAACAGAGCCCCAGGGAACCAGACCACTCCAAACTGGTGCAGTTTGTGAACTGTGGGCATGAATCATCCAAATAACTTCCTTCAGGCAATACAGGGAAGAAATGTCACTAACCATGTGAAAATTGAGACCATATGTTTTTAGGATGTTTTTTGAAAGGAGTATCCTTGAGAAAGCTACTTGAGTGACTTCAAGGCTGGTTCCTAGGTCAGATCCCAGCAGATCAGTCCCTCCTCCTCTGGTGCCAGGGACTCTCTCGACTATGGTCGTTATTTTCACTGCAGCCAGTATCTATCTTTTTCTGCACCATCTAGTGAAAAGCTGCAAGTCCTTCAAGGCCAAGACAAAGATTGTGTTTTGTTTGTTTGGAAAACAAAAAAATGAATGCCGGAAAAAAACAGGTGCCTGAGAACTGCCTCTGGCATCTCCCATCTGTGCATGAAGACAACTCCTCCACAGCAGCAGCAGCCTCTCCTTCCACTTGGCAGGTGTTGTTGGACCAGAGCCATGGGTACAGGATCTATTTTCTGTTGAGCTTGCAAAGGAGACGTGGTTGCCTGGCACAGCCTTGTATTTCAACAGCTGATCTGATAACACAGAGGTGCTGGCCTCTGTTCTCTGCGATCATTCCCTGAAGAAGCAGGGTGATTACTTTTTCTTTCCATGAGGAAGCTGTTGGATATAACCTGGCACCTCGAAGGGTTTTTTTTTTTCCCTGTGCAATTAGCAATTTGGGGTTTTTTTACATTCTGAAAGGTGGCATTTTGCCCCTCTTGGGAGGCCTGTCCCTCATCATGCAGCTCTCTGTGTGCCATTAATGCAGCCACATGTGGGTGTGCCAGAGCCTCCCCAGTGCTTTGACCTGGTTACCCCACCCTGAACAACCTTGGCGACAGCACCCACATTTCCAAAGGACATGCACCAATGGCTGGGAATCTGGGAGAAGTCAAAGTGAGCCCTAATAAGGCAAGGCAGCTAGTTATTACTAAGCTGCTATTTCTACTGCAAGAAGCCCTGGAGCAGCAAAGCTGCTCACTTAATGTATGTTCATTAGCAGCATGGATAAGAGCAGCACTGATTGCAGGCTATAATTAGATCTCTGGGACCTTTTTGGACCGGCTTTCTCTGGCATTGTGCTACTTTGAAAGGACTTCCAGTTTCTTTTCTGAATGGTTGGGATGGCATTTCCCTATTCAGCAGATTTGGGACTGTTTCTGTTTTCTCCATTGTGGCTCACAGAGCGCTCCCAACTTGGTGCCACAAGCCCCACGCCACAGAATTAGCAAAAGCTCCATTGTTTGACCACTCCTGGTCCCTTGAGTTGTAGAGTTGGCCAGACTGCAGCTCTCTTCTTGGAACTGCATGGCCAACCTGCCAGGCAGCCCTCCCTGATTCACTTAGCTTGCCAAGATGTAGTTTTGTGAGTACCTTCCTCTGGTGATGACTCTGATTCTCCTGGAATCCCTTTCTTAGCGTGCTCTGTGCAGCCAGCCTAGAGCATTCCCACAAGGGACAGATGCCCCAAGCCAGCACTGAGCACGTACTCAGGGAATGGTGGCCTACATGGAAATTCTTACTCCTCTCTTGGAATGCTGGAAAACAGCCTCAGCATCCACTCTGTGAAAAGCAGGGGAGGAAGAGCCAAGGGAAAGATGCATAGCATGAAGGGCTGGAGTTGAGGTATCAACAGCTCACGTGGCAAACGGGACCCAAGGGTGTCTCTGCCGGTGGTTTCCCCTCCCAGCGCTGGTGTGCTGGAGACAACCATTAAGCACAGCCCTGTGGTGGGCATCTTTCCTTGCCATGTTCCCAGATCCTTCCTGTATCTTCTCGTGCACTGCCCACTCACCAGCTGGCAGGCAGGGGCAGAGGTGCTGGGAGCCCATCTGGGATTAGGAATCCAGAGGCAAAGGTGCACATGCCAGAACTTGGCTGACCTGTGGGCTGAGGGAGGCTATCTGAGGAAGGAAGTTTTTGTGTCTTGTTTTGAACCCAATGCATCTGGTCCTGGTAGCTCAAACTGCAGACTGAGATGCAAATTGAGCTCTGGGTGGGGGCCCAGGGAGACAAGAGGCCGAGAACTGCCAACCTTTGGGATAACAAAAGGCACAAAGGCAGGTGGTGCCAGCCAGGTGAATGGACACTTGAGAGACACATGGGAGCTGAGAATTGCTGACCTTTTTGATAACAAAGGAGATGAGGAGGGGTGATGCCAGCAGAGAGGGGGCTAGGAGCCAGGAGGAAGAGTGACACTTGCATGAGGGTAGATGTTGAGGGTATAAAAAGCCCAGGGGTTCCATTGTTGGGGTCCTCCTCGAAGGCACCAGTTCCAGGTGTTTCTGTGTTACTGTGCCACGAATAAATGGCTTTATGGAATGAGACTGCTGTGGGAAACCTGGGGTCAGACTGATAAGGAAACCTGGTCTGACCGTGTGTGAGTGGGGTGTGCAGGGAGTCATGGGGGCACCTGTTGGGTCACTGGAGCCACTCACCATGAAAGGGCTTCAGTCCCAGCAGTCTGGCCTTGGGAGTCTGACTCTTGAGAGTCTCCTGAATGGTCAGACTGGGAATTTTCTTTAGCACCCAAGGCCAAAACAACTGAGATTAAAGCATATTTCCGAGTAGCACTCTCTTTGAGGACAGAAATTCACCCAGAACTAAAGCTTTTGGAGATGAGCCTCTTTAGTCTTCCTGCCTTGTCATCAGAGACTTGTTGACCTCATGCTGATGTGTGACCTGAACCAGAAATGAGTGCCTGCCTCTTTGCAGTACCTTCACACAGCAGTACAAATTCTGGCCCACCCAATGCAAGTTAACTGTGCTATTTTCTGCAATGTCAACATGAATTTTATCTATTGTTTATCCTTTAAAGCTATGCAAATCATTTGAAATAAGTTTATCTTTGTGCCATAGCCTCCTCTTCCCTTCTCTCTCTATTCCCTGATCTTAAACTGCTGTCCTACCAGTTTAAAGCTAAAGCAGTTTAATGTTAAAGCTCTGCTCTAACAAATGACTTTGTGAAACTATTTGCTTACGTTTTAAATTTGTTCTCTGTGTGAGATCTAAGCCAGATCTGCTGAGGTTAGTGGCTGTCACAGGGGTTTATTGCCTGTTACTCCTCTGAACCCAGGAAGAACCAGTCCAGCAAAGGGAGCAGGTGTTTTATTCTGGTGTTTATTTAATTACCTGTATCAGCTGTTCACGTGCAAACCACAGTGTCTAGCCACAAGGTCATCATTGGTAGAACATGGCTTGGCTGGACCTGAGAAACTCTATGATAAGCAAGGAGTGAAAAAGAAATACCAAGAGGTGAAAAAGAAATTCTAAGCCTGAGTTTCAGAGGCCAGCACAGGTTCTGACCCAGCTCATGCTGATTAGCAGCCAAGAATTTAACCAGCAGAGGCAGAGCCTCTCTCTGCCAAGACAACCATGGGTCAGAGGAAGGGATGGCCACAACCATTTTGTTCCAAGGCATTTGACAAAGCAATGCTTAGCTTGCACTGGAGCCAAAGTCCATTAGTTTAGCAACAAAAAAACCCCAGACTTTCTAATGTAATAGGATACCACTATTTAATGTCTACTGTGTCAATTATTAACAGAGTTCCACCCAATGCCTTATCACTGGGACGCTGGAAGAATTTACTTCCAAGGGCAGGTTTGATATGCTTTGTGTAACCTAGATTTTATAATTACCCCTAATGCCTTAGCCTTACTTACACTTATAAATTCTCCAGCATGATGTGGCTTACTGCCCCTTCATGAAAAGTAGAATGAGGGGAAGAAGTGAGTAGTGGAAGAGAACAGGCTGGAGGGAAGGCAGAGAGGGAGCTCCGTTTTTTATTGGTATTTAGTTTGCACTGACAATGCACACACCTAAAAAGAAATGGAATATTTAATGGATACTCAGGCAGGGACGTGTTTACAAGATAAACACAAATTCTTTTCTGGCCAGACAGTAACTCAGGCTATCTCTCTCATACCATAAGACACTCCTGGTCTCCTCTCCCTGCCTTGGTTTCTCTCTGGAAACCCACTGTTGCTAAAGGAGCACATGATACCCCCCTCACTTCTACTGGGGCAAGGTTGCTCCTGAGATGTCCACAGCATAGTGGTACCCAAACATCTGTTGCTCCTGCTCTGTGCAGGCTGAGCAGCCAGCCATGCCCTGACGTGGGAAACGTGACAGCCATGCTGCTCAAGGGCCTGGCTTCTCACCCAATAATTGGCTTGAAGAAGGAGAAAAAATAGTTTGCAAGAGTATCATGGAGAGACATCAGGACAGGGTTATTAATAACAGGCAAGACAGAACCTGCAGGCCACGTGTCACAGGGCTGCGTGGTGAGGCCATCGTGTGGGATGTGCAGCTCAAAGGGCTGCATGGAGAGGCAAACCCAACCCTCACCCCTGTGCACCTGCACCTACTCAACCTTCACACCCAATATCCTGCTGCTTTGGGAGGTTGTTAGGCTGCCTGACCCCTGGACCTGCTAACTGTCAGGGAAGTCCCTCTGTCCTCAGGACTGCAGATCCAGGTGCTTTTTCCCCAGAATATACTGCGTTTATTTGTGGCACCTCAAGAATTTTCCTTTCCCAGTTTTCTGGGAAAACAGCTTCCTAATTTTTCCAGCGCAACTTGGGTTATTATCACACCATGTTCAAAACCCTACAAAGTTACCTGAAGTGAGTGTGCTCACTTGCCATTGAGATATGCCATCTCAAACTCCCCTTTACAGAGCCCTCACCTTTGCACACAGACCACAGCTTTCTTTCCATGGGATCTGCTGTCCTGCACCTCACATGTCTCTGGTGATATTACAGCATTCCTCACAAATCATTCCCCCATGGAGTTCAAGTGTCTCCCTTTACTGCCCGCACTGTGCTGGCTCCCACTTTACAGCAGTAAAACCAGATTTATTAATTTCATTGTGTTACTAAAAAGTGAAATTTTTTCACAGTATTTGCAAATTACCCTTCTTCACCATGACCAGGAAGGGGAGGAAGATGCTACTCTAGTTTCATTTACTTGAAGAAGTGTTTGGCAGGCAGCTAAAGAGCAGAACATGGCACAGTTAAACAAGAAGAGGGTATATCTGTGGCCAGAAAACAAATCTGCCTAGACAGACAGCCTCTTTCTTTCCATGGGGCAGGTCCCACGGAAGGCCCAGCTGCCCATGTGGAAATCATCTTGCAGGACAGCTTCAGGGGTGATGCCATCCACATACCCACCCTGCTGAGACAAGATGCCCTGCACAGGGGCCCAGCTAAACAAACATCTACTCCTTTATGGAGAGCACATGGAAGGGGCCAGTGATCTGGGAGGGACTGGCAGGCATGCTGAGGGACAGAAAAGAGAGCCTAGGAGAGGCTGGAGAAGGATGATAAGGAAAGGATTCTCCTTGGTGGCTTTGCTCTCCCCTCGTGCCACTTCCAATACACAGCGACCAGGAGGGCAGTGGTGGGTGGGTTGGTGAGGGGCTGTTCTCATGGGCTGGTGGAGGAGGGAGGGACCTGGAGAAGGAGCCCAAGACCAAGAAGGCAGGTAGAGATGCCCCAGCACCACGGAATGGGAATTATGGGAGACTAAGGCTGAAGGGAATGGCAGAGAGAGGCCTTTTCTGTTCCCACTGTGTGCCTTCACAAGTCTGAGGAAGGACAGCAGAGTTCCCCAGGCTCACCAAGGCCATCCTCCTCCACCACAGTGCTCCACGTCAGAGGAGAGTGAGGAACTAGTGAGAGGTCGCTCCTCTCCCCAAGACACAGCAGCAGCCACAGACAAGGGTGCCTCAAGGTGAGGTAAGCTGCACATTTCTCACCTAACCAGCAAGCAGCACTGTCCATCATATTCCCCCGAGGAAAGGAGGAGAAAAAAATGTGTGTCACGCCCTGACCAGAGGGCAGCCAGCAGCTCTCAGTCATACCAGCTGTCACAGAACTGCAAAGTAACCCTGGGGCTCAGCTGAGCCAAACCCTGTTGCACCAAAATTATTTTAGGAAAGCATATGCAACTCTAAGTCAGAAGGTCCATGGGAAACACCCAGTGAGAGATGTAAAGTTTCCCCAAAGTTTCTTGTAGGGTGGGTTAAGAAGCCTTTCCTCAGGTGGCCATGAATAGCCATCTAAACACAGGGTATCAGGATCAGCTGTGGTTTTGCTGGAGCCAGCTTTTGCCTTTTTGGAGGCAAAAATTCTCCCCATGAACTAATATTAAGTCACTTAGGAGCAGGGTTTTCATGAAAAAAAGTCTGGGCCAAGGAATGAGTTGGTTAAGAGGAAAATGAAGATATTTAAAAGGCCAAACATCAAGTGTTTGAAAACTGTGTGGTGGAACATGTGGAGAAATCCAACCCAAAGTATCCCTTGAGCCTTGATTCACATTCTCTTTGACCCTCCATCTTGGTTTGGGGTGAGGAAAGAATAAAATACTGCCATTTTTGTGGCATAGGCAAACCCCTCCCCATAAGGGTGCTTGAATTTACCACCAGAGGCCTGAAGGCTTGTAGGGAGCAGTGTCTGCCTATGGCACAGCTATGGCTTTCTTCCCACATAAACAAACCCAGACACTGAACTTAGGCCTTTCATTCACTCTTCAGGGAGTTTTTTAACCAAAAAGAAGGATTAACATGGAAAAATATTTCTGTGGGTACTGCATTGGAGTCTGGGGCTTCCTTCACTCATAGTGTTGGCAGAGCAAACCCTGGACATCAAAGTTGGACCCATGCCTTGGAGTCTTTAAAATCCCATTGGAACTCAGCTCCTGCTGTCTGGAAAGGCTCCGTGCCAGGCTCTGAGCCTGCTGCTTCTTACCCAGGGCAGGGTTATTACTGCCTGCTGGCTCCAAACCTTCTCCCTAGTGACAACAGTCATATTTTCCCCAGCTGCTGCAAGTTTCCTTTCCTCAGCTAACCCCCACACCAGAGAGAGCTGTGGACTCACAGGATACCGGTCCTCTCCCTTGGTGTGAATCCCCCAGAGGGAGACAGGGAGGAGACAGCCCTCCTCCTCACTCCTCCATGGCACAGGGGAACGTGAGCATGTGCCACTGTTCCTCTCTCTGAGATAAGATGGACAGAGCCCATTGCAGACACAGATGTATAGCCAGCCATCCCAGCACTCTCCTGACCCAGCAGGGTCAGATCAGTGATGCTGGTAAAGCACTGAAGCCACTGTCTTGCATGGAAGCAACCAACAGAGGTTCCCAGTTCTTCACTATGAGAAGTGATCCCGAGAATTCTGGCAGTGATCAGTGCTCAGACACAGAGATGGGAGAAGCCTGGAAAGGCATGGGAGGTGAGGTTTCCCAAGAGGCAAGGAAGAAATGGCATCTTTCTTCAGTGAAGTCATGAGGCTGAGATGGCGGCCTGCAAAGATGGGCAAGGACACG